AGTAATTATACTCATCTGGAAAAACCTTTGGTGTTTTGGTTTGTAAATGAACAAACTAATACCCAAGGAAAAATAAGGGATAAAAAAAAAAGAAAGAACGAGGAACAGGTAATTGAGGCGAAAACAATTGTCCAGAATCCAAGCTCACAGAGTCCAAAGAAAAAACCTCCAACACGGGTAAAGCAAAAATAACTAAATAAAGTGCTCAATACACTAAGTAGAGCAAATCTAACTATGAACCTAAGAGAGCCAGGCAAACCTACCTAGGTTTCACCTATTTTATTGTCAGGGGTACCTGTCAATCCGCACCCTATCAACCCAGGTAGGTTTGCCTGGCCTTTTGTTATGTTCATATATATATATATATATATATATATATATATATAGAGAGAGAGAGAGAGGTAGGGGTATGATGAAAAGTATTTACAAATATACTTGCATGTACATATAAATATATTTTTTTTTCAGGTGTTATAAATACAGTGCTCAATGTTATGCAACTGAACTATATATATATATATATATATATATATATATATATATATTAGTGAATAACCTGTGCAAACACATTGACCCTGATTAAAAAAAAAATTCCAAACCCATAATTAATAACATTTCCTATACATCTATACACACACATGTAATCCCATATTTTTGTACTCTATTAATTTATAACGTGTCTATATATAATTTCATCTTGTAAGTATAAGGCTTGGTTACAAACACATTAGATATATAGTCCCAACCTATTATTATATTTACACCATGAATACTAGTTTACTTTCTTATAAATGGTATTTTAATCCAGAAAATAAAAAAGATAGTTATCCCCCTTGATACGTAACTTGTTTACTTATTTCAAACCTAAACAATTTTTTTTTATTTCTTTGCCTTTTGAACTTAAGAATTTGATATATATATATTGAATGATATAAATTATAAATAATTATATCTTAAGCAACAATAATTAAATAAAACTCCAAGTTGTGCTATCAACGTTGGATATTATATATATATATATATATATATATATATATATACACACACACACAACACTTCCTGATTGTCAGATCTAATGAGGTAATATAATTTATTTCTCTCTCTCTATGTAAATTACTTGAGGGTGTATATGTGCACCAGTATCATTTTTTTGTATAAATGATTTTGCAAGTCATAAACTTTTCACTTTTATCCTTTATACAAATCATATCAGCTATTTGTTTTATAGACTTTCACAAACTAGCAAGTTCCTTAATTCTACTTGCAATCAATTTGTCAAAGTTGGCAGGTCAAGATAAAGGGAGACAACTCCTTAGAAAACCTATCTGCTCTTCACTGTGTCGATACAAATACTGTCCCTCCTTAATTATTTGTATCTCTATTTCAGAGGTGAAATTAATAGAAAAATTGAAATCATTCAAACATTTTTCATTTATCAGAAGTAAAATCCATTCTAATATTTAATCTTAATGAAGCGTCATGAGAATTTAAAAAACCACATTCAAAGTTTGATAAGATCAGTTCAATTAATTTTTGCTAATTTCCGATAAAGGATATACACTTAAATTATCTTGCTTTTATTGAGCAATTTGAAGCATTAAACACCAACGTAAATGTTGAAACTTGGATAAGCATGGAATAATAATAATACAACACAAAATGTACGTAAACAAAATGTATTGAAACAAGGAAAAGGTACACAATATTTACAGTTAGTTTTGGTATATTCTTGGGAAGACTGTTCCTGCATAATGGGTTGACTAAATCGCAGTCAACTATAAGTCTCTGGATTCGATCTCTTCTTACTATCCTACTTTCTCCCTCGTTTTCGGTACCAACCCATATTTATATGGTCGGTAAAAATCCCTCTATGATATGTAAATTAGGTGTATCATTTATACAACAGTAAATGAAGCAGAAATAAATGAATGCTTATATTTTTCAAAAAACAGCCATGGATATAAAAAGCTAAGTGAACAAGGTCTATAGCTTTATTTATAACCACATCGAAAATGTTGAAGAGGGGAGAAGGATAAAATGAAATTGCCTATGTCAAAATTTCCCCATTTCAATTTTAAACATCAAAGCCATTATTGTCTTTGACAAATGTTAACTGTATATACTTGTGTATAAAAAAATATATATAGAAAAATTTCTGGGCATGCTTTTTTAAATTGGTCCATCAAAAAAAAAAATTTACCTATGGATAGTGTAGCTGGTCACCAAAAATGCATGATTTTTAGCTTCTTAAAAAAAAATAAAAAAAAATAAAAAAAAAACAAATTGGTAATATTTTTTAACTAGAAGCTACCTTTACAATTACATCTACTTTAATCCAGATTTGGAAGTTACTTAATGATTGAATTCCAAAGAAGACACAAATTGAAGCATATTTAAAAAGAAAAAAAAAAAAAAAAACTGTACAAACACTTGAATAAAAGATTTGAAAATGTTATTTGATATATTAATGTCTTTCAAAAAATGTCTTTTTTTTGTGTTA